GGCGGGCCGGGCCCTGGCGCCCGGGGCCCAGCCCACCCCCCCAGCCGGGAGCAGCGCAGCCAGGGGGCACTGGGCCTGGCTCGGCAGGGCCCATGGCTGGGCAGGGCAGGGCTGTGGGGAGCTGGAGACTGGCCCTGCTGCGGCATTGCTGGGGCAGGGACTGACAGCCCTGGGGGGCTGACATGGGGTCCTGGGCTGTGGGCAGGGTGAGGGGAGCCCTGGGGGTTGAAATGGGGTCCTGGGCTGTGGGCAGGGTGCGGGAAGGCCCAGGGAGTCTGGTCAAGACCATTTAAGGTTTATTGGTGCCCTCAGGGCCCTGAAAAATAAAAATAAAATCTAGGGAATGGGTATTTGGAGCAGAGTGAAGGTATCTGAGAAGGAAGATATAAGTAATAAAGAAGTTTGGGTCCATTGATGGAAGTCTGAGGTATGGGGGAAAGGTTGGAAAGGAAGAAAGAAGGTAATGCAGCCAAAAGAAATTTTCTGAAGGGGACCTATCATAAAAAAGTGGAACAAATAAGATGACTAATGCAAGCTTTTCATGTGAGAGCAGCCATGGCATATTATAAGTTAAGAGTGGAAGCTCTCTGATATGAGCAATTATAATTGCTCAATGATGATGGAATATCAATGATCAGGATAACACATCAGTATAAACTTTTGTAAAAAGGGATAAACTCAAATGCTTTGTTGAATCAGGGCCTTAAACAATTTAAAATAATCTTGGATTTCAGTTATGAGGTTACCTTTGCTGTCATGTTGCTGAACTGCCACAATAGTATTAATAATAATATTACTTGACTATTAGAGAGAACACTTCATCTAGACTTCCAAAGCATTATCTAAAAGAGAATATATTATTCTCATGTTTACCCTTTGGAAAAACTGCTCCGTAGAAAGTGGCTTGCACAAGGTCACAGAGAAAGCTGGTAACAGTATTAAAGTTTGGGCTGAGTTTTTTCCTGTGACTCTACCCAATGAGCATCTAGATTCTGTATAATCCGGCAGCTGGTGAAAGAGATCTGGGGATTAGCAGTAGGATCTAGAAGAAACCTTTTGCCTTAGTCTTTGATTTTACTGTGACCTACCTAGGTAGTAATGGAAAGCTGCTACTGCTACAGAGCTCTTCAATGGCCTCTGTGAAATGAGTTGCTGGTATCTGTCCAGTTCCTAATGAACAAATTTCCTTTTAACAAAATCACTTGCACTTACTGTTACCTTCATTGGCAACCTCAATAAAAAAACCAGGAATCAAATGGATGTGAAAAATTAACTATTCCGTCAGGCCAAGTATGTTATGAATTTGTGGGCCGTGTTAGAAAGATTTATACTTTCTCTGCTGTCAGTTTGGCATTTTTATGAGCCCTAAATTGTATATATTTTTTTTTTAATTAAACATTTTTCTCAAACCTTCCCTTTACGTTCATGTAGCAATAAAACTTTCAAATGCCTGAGAAAGGCATCACTGAAAAATGTAAAATGCATCAGATGTGGAGCGCTGATTGGTAATCACATAGAAAGAGCTGATAACACGTGGTAAACTATGGTAAGTCAACTGACTTATGCAAGAAAGTGTTGAGCTTACTAATGTTTTTCATTCGTTAAGGTAAAGGCAACATTATGAAGCAACCTTTCCTTGTTTGCAATGGATTTTATCTCATATGCTAGGATAGAATGCGTATGATGGTACTTGAATTTATGTTGCAATAGTTCCATTTTAAGCCCCTGTGTCAGTGTTAAAAATCGTTTATAAAAGGAATTTCAAATAGTAGAAACACTTCTGCCAGGGCTGGGAGGTGAATGTTAGCTCAGTGAGGCAGCGGGATTTCCACCAATGGAAAATGGAGTAAGATTGACGGGACTCGGATTTCATACCAGCTACAATATAGATACAATACGTACAGAATATGACTGTAAAAGCTGGGGGAATGGAAAGGACAGAAGAAGGGAAGGAATTAACCGAACAGCTGATTGAAGCTGTCAGATGAATTATCTGGGCATTTGCCAAGGCCATTCTCCAAGTCAGGGAAGTTGGAATCTCTCTTCTGGGACAATAGAGAAGCAGATAAGTATCCCATCCTGAATATATGGGCTTGACTCCTGGCACTTGCGGGCAGCTGGGAAATTCTTTGTGGTGCCACAGTAAAGCAAGCACAACATTGATGAAAACAGAGAAAAATGGATCCATGCTGGGGAAGCTGTAAGCACTATTTATGGAGCAATGGGGAGTTACTGGCAGCTGTGGGGAGTATAGAGCAGAAGCCATGCTACTTAACTGAAATGAATGCTCACAGTGGACCATTGGATCAGCAGGGGTGAGATCAATAGTACTCCTAGTTTTCCAAGTAGCTGCCTGCTTGCAGCAGCAGGGAGCAGGAGTGACATTACTCAAGTCTTTGGGTGCATCTTGTTACTTTCCTCTGAATGAAGAGATCTGCACCAGAATCCTGGACTTTGTGCACAAACTAGTCAACAGTTAGCTTCCCTTTGAGACAAGATCTGTTAGCTAGTACACTGGTTATTTCTAACAATTAATATTTTGTTCTGAAAGCATTAAATGGGGATGTAAAATTTTGCTGCCTAAAATGTGGTATGTTAATCCATGTCTGTTTTCCAAATGTGGGATTCATGTCATCTAAACTTCACCATCTAGTCTAAAATAGTCTAGAATTTCTTTATTAGTCAGTGAAGTGAGAAAAGCACCTGCAGAGGACAAATCATCTTAGATGGTGATAAATAACTAAAAGCAGAATAAAGAGACTGCTGCTAGAGTACAGCATCAGTCTGCGTATTTTCAGTGTCAACCGTTAGTGATTGGAAACCACCTGGAGAGAGCCTATAGCCCAGTTTAATGTGGACTGCTATAGCCATATCTGCTAATATATGTCCAAAAGGAAATAACCCAGCGAATATGGTGTTTTCCAAATGGAAGATGTTTGGCCTGTTGGCCAATAGTTCCTTCAGATATGCAGAAACAGTCTTGTGTAGAGAGCCTCAAGCCTACAAATGCGTGTACAATTTGGTCCTAGTTCAGCAAAGCACTGTACCATATACCTACCTTTAAATTTCAATCATGTTAACAGTCCTGTAAGTCAGTGGAACCACTGATCTGCTCAATCGTAAGCCTGTGCTTATGTTTTACAGGATCAGGTCTGCATATTCAGCAGAACTGAGTTCCTATCCACCAACGTGTTGCTTTATTTTGTCAAAGGGCTTGGGAGCCACAAGATCTGTCTCCTAATTAGTGCTCTAAGATATACTGTAATATTTCTTTATTTTCTCCATGCGAATTATTTATTTTCCATCTTTGGTACCTTTGATGTAAGCATGGGTGTCCTATTTGATGTAATTTGCTTCTGGTTTTGGTGTCACTGCTTGCCGGTGATCATCACTTAGATCTGGATATTCTTTCTGTTTCTTCTTCCACTTTTTCCATTAAAAAAAATTCCTAAGTCCTTCATATGTCTGTTTGAAACAGCTTTTTCTTAATATTATAGAACCATCGAATCATAGAATCATTTAGGTTGGAAAAGACCTTTAAGATCATCAAGTCCAGCCATTAACCTAGCACTGTCAAGTCCACCACTAAACCATGTCCCTAAGCATTACATCTATATGTCTTTTAAATACCTCCAGGGATGGTGACTCAACCACTTCCCTGGGCAGTCTGTTCCAATGCTTGATAACCCTTTCGGTGAAGAAATCTTTCCTAATATCCAAGCTAAACCTCCCTGGCACAACCTTAAACTTAAGGGATTGTGAATCTGCTTCCACAGTTGCCTTGCTGTGTCATTTTTATCTGTGAAGACTTTATACAAACATGCTGCTGCAGAGAAACAAAATACAGCTGAGTCAAATTTACCAGAGGGGGAAGCAGAATGATCATCTTCTGTGTTAGCCCTGTGAACTGTAGTACTCGCAGCCTGGGTACATCAGAGGGCAGTGGCCTGCCTGGAGATTGCCCCTTTCTACTAGGCTGAGCAAGGTGGGATTTCTTCTCCCTGATCTTGAAGCAGAGCCACCTCCTAACAGAAAACACAAGAGTTCTTGGGCCAAAGAAGAGACAGCAAAGTGTGCCAGTGAGGAGAGTGTAGACATGGGAGGGGGAGAGACTTGAGTTCTGGATTCTGCTCCATGAACTGTTTATATACTTAGTTTTGTATAAAAAGACAATATACAGTCCAGGGGACAGGAACCTTTAAATCTCAGACTCCCTTCCTTCTGTGAGGTTTCTTGTCACTGGACAGAGATCCCAGGTCCTTTGTTTCCCAGGTCATAATTCACTGTGCAACCAAAGGGGAGGAACTCAGCAGGAGGGACAGGGAGTCCGCTGCCACCATTCTAGACTTGTCTTTATGCTGGTGAATTGTGTCCTCTCTGAGAAGGTAGGAGAGGTGCTTTTCAACTGTGGTTTGTGATAAACCGGGTATTAGACGGGTATCCCCAGATGGGTATCCCACGTTTGGTTAAGTGCTGTAACTACTAGGCAGTTGTTTGAAAGTGCATATCCTTCAACATGCTCTGTCATGAAAGTGGGAGAAGGCTGGTGTGTTTTGTGCTAAACTTGATTTGGCAATTTTTACTAGCAAATTTGAGGCCACCTGCTTTACCTGTGATGCTTTTCATGTTTGTTTTTTTTTTTTTTTTAATTGGGACAAACCACCAGTGCTGTTGTGGTGCTGTCTAATGCTTCCTTTCTCCTTCAGTCTTCCCTGTCTATCCATTCTCCCTGCCTCAGACTCCTAGGCAAACACAGCTTCTGCTAGTCAGTGCCTCAGTGGCTGTGTTTGTCCCCTCTGCCTGCTGGGAACTCCTCAGACCTACGCAGTTCGGTTTCTGGTTTAGCCTCCCCACTGGTCTCCCTCAGGATCACACTCCACTTGTTTCAGCTGTCTGGTTATATCAAGATGTTCGGTGTTTCTTACAACTCCCTTAAATGGATGGCAATTATATCTTAAATTGCAAAGTGGGCTTAACCCCAATCATTGCAGCATATTTCAAACCCTAAAAAATTATTCTATTTCTAGAAAATAGACATACTTTTAAATGCTTGTGTGAGCAAGGCATTTTCCAGTTGTTTTGTTATTTTCTGTACTGCATTTAAGGACACTGACATCTTGACACTTCATGACAGAAGTTTACACACACACACAGACACTAGCACACAGACACACAAACACAGACGCACGCACACAAAGGTCTGCAGAATAGATTTTAAAGTTTCTATGTGCAACAAACAAAAAAGTCCCTGTTGAAAGGGCCCAGAGTGAAAGCTGAGCTCCCAAATGAGTTAGAGTAAAAAAGATAACACCCTGAGGCATCTGTATGTCTCAGCATTTAAATTATATCCCTTGAAATATCCGTTTGGACTTGGTGCCAAGAAATGGTTGAAGAGCTTTTTCATGAATATACCCAATAGAAGACCAATCTGTTGAAATGAAATGTGTCTCTAATCATTTGGTATAAACATAACATGTTTTTACTTTATTATGTAACCTTGAATCATCTTGGTCTTTTAATGAGGATTTTGGATTGTTGCTAATGCTTTACAATTTCATGGAATTATATTGTCTTGGTGTTATGCTATGGGGAGAATACGCACTAAAATATAACTTTTCCACTTATTTAAATGGGTAAAATGATTTCAAGGTTTCTTTAAAAAGCATTGTGTCTTGTTTGTACAGATATTCCATTCAAATTACTATAGTAGTGAAAAAACTTTTTAGCAGATTTCACTTTCTGAGTCATTTGACAGTTCTTGTATTCTTTTCCTTCTTGAATTATCGGCTGTATTTTTTTTCCTTTTTAGGATTAGTGATTACATGGATCTGACCCCTGTAGATATCGTAGGAAAGAGATGTTACCACTTCATTCATGCTGAAGATGTGGAAGGCATCAGACATAGTCACTTAGACTGTAAGTACTTCCATGTTTGTCAAAATAATCTGGCACAACACTTGATTGTTCCTGAACTATTATTTCTGTTCCACGACTGGGGTCTTCATCTTGCACCTGCTTTTTTTGTCATAGGATTTCATAGAGGGTGGCTCAAATATAACTTTTTGTATGATTTATTTTCAAGTCTTTTTATAGACATATAAGATTGTTCACATATGTGGAAATAAAAAATTATATTTGTATTACCAGAGTTTCCAGCAGCCGTTCATTTACACGTGCTCTGCATTATTTTACTCCTTCAAAGAGGTATTGCTTAGATGAGAAACTCCCTCCCTAGCACAGAAAATGAACTCCTATTTTTGTTTTTTATTTCTATGTCATAACGTGGAGGTCAAAAACTGCAGCATATTTGGGATTTCACCAGGTTTTTCAATACAGAACTGAGCTATAGCCCTACCAGTGTTTAACCACCCCGTGTATTAACATCTAAATAGTCCCCATCCCTATAGCATCTAAGTCCCTGTTATTTGCACACAGGTAGTATCTGATCAGGATAAGGTAACAGAAGTACAAAAATGTTATGAGACAAACCTTACCAGAAAGCATGTGCATATGTCTGTGTATGGGGGAAGGGAGGTTCAGCTTGGTTCCTTGTAATTAAACTCTTTGTATTCCTCTTATTAAAAGCCATAGGGCCTAATTCTTTTCTTGTTGAGATCTGTTGACTTCAGTGATGGTGCTCCCGATTTACCCTGGTGCGAAAAGAGACTTAGGCCCATAATCTCTAATTTATCTGTGCCTGCAGTGAAGCCAGAAAATTCTTTGGAAGTTTCAGTGACTGACTGCGTTTATGATTGACTTGTGTATATTTTCTTAATGTAAAAGACTATCTGCAAACTGCCTCTTAAATTCAGAGTCCCAGATTTTAATAACTCCGCTCCCCCTACACCGTGTCCTGCTAGCATTTCCTAATAAAAGGGTAGCAACCCAAATACAGCCACATTTAATTAGCTTTTATAAAGCCATATGACTACAATAGAAGGCAGTATAAATCTTCAGTCCAAAACTACCTTGCTTGATCTGCAAGGGAAGACAGGAGGATAACTGCAACTGGAAAGCAGGAGAATAGGGACAGCTTCTATGATAATATATGGCAGCCAACAACAGTATCAAGCTCTGTATAGCTTTCAAATAGTCCCAGAAGTTTCTAGAAGGTAAAGTGCATTTGGCATAAGAAGGTCAGGTTAGATAGATTTCTGTGGAAAAAAATAAAATCAACTATCCAAAATGATAAACAAAGTAATTTTGCATCATTTACATTTTGAGCGTTTAATATCCAGGAAAATGTCAGTTGCTCAGAAATGAAGGAACAAATTCAGAAACTTACTTGGTGTTCTTGAAAGTGGAAGTCAAAAATGACAAGTTGCACTTCCACTGCACTATCTGACCGAGGAAATAAAAGATATTTATGACTCAGACTTAACATACCACCTGGCAGAGATGAACATCCCATTTGAAAAAGACCTTAATCTTCTGAATGACCACTTCTCTCCGAAATAGAATATGCTTTATGAAACATTCATCTTCAGAAAACTTAAGAGACCTATGCAGACAGTGTGAGTGCAGTGTGGTCCAGTGTATAAGCACTGGCCTAGGACTCAGGAGACCCTGGAGACAGGAATGACTTATAGAAAATCGCTTCACCTTACTGTGTTCCTGCTCTCACTGTATGTCCAGTTTAGCTGATTGGATTGCAAGCTTTATAAACACAGGGACTTTCTCCCATTATCAGCATCCAGTACAGTGGGGTTCCAAACTTGGCTGTGTGGCTATAGCATAATTATTCTTGCTAGGCTAATTTTTTTTCAGTAGATGAGGCTGGTTACATCTTTTAGGTATAGTCATTCTCTTGGCTTATAGGGACAGGATGTTCATAGAATCATTCAGGTTGGAAGGGACTCTGGGACATCATCTAGTCCCACCTCACGCTCAAAACAGGATCAACACTGATTCAAAGCAAATTGTTTAGTCCTTTGTCTAGCTGATCTTGAAAACCTTCAAGGTCAGACTTTCCACAGCTTCTCTGAATGGCCTGTTCCAATTCTCCTTAATAAGGGCTTAATTATCCTCACAGTGAATTTTTTTTTTTTTTCCTTCTATCCAGTTGGAATTTCCCTGTTTTGATTGTGCAGCTCATGGCTCCATCTTTGCAGTAACCTCCTCGCAGGTATGCTGTTAGGGCTCCCTGAAGCCACCTCTTCTTCAGGCTGAACAAGCCTAGTCCCACAGCCTTTCCTCACAGGGCAAGTACTCCAGCCCCTGACCATCTTGACAGACCTCTGCTAAGCTCGCTGAAGTTTATCAGTATATTTCCTGTGCTGGGAGCCTAAAATTAGATTCCAAATGCAATATAAAGAGTGATGAGTGAAGGGGAATAATGACTTTCTGTGATCTACTGGCTATACACTTTTTAGTACAGCTCATAGAGCACACTGCTGATTCATGCTTAGTTAGCATACTGTCCACCAGGACCCGCAGGTCCTTTTCCATAAAGCAACAACCCAACCAGTCAGTCCCCAGCCTGTACCATTGCAGGGAATCAATCCATCCCAGGTACTTTGCGTTTGTCTTTTCATGTTGTTCAAACTCATGCTCTGGATGAAAGATCTTCAAGTTTAAATCAGACTTGGGAATAGCTCAGGAAGTATACCTGCCTGTTACAAGTCCTGCAGAAGCTGAAGTGCTTCATATCTTTGCCCAGAGAGATGCTTGACTTTTCTAGCATTCGGAAAAAAACTTTGTAGAAAAACCAAGAGAAGGAAATCACAAAAGCCCAGAACACTTCATAGCAATCTGTCCATCCTAGAAAATCAAGTTCAAACCAAACTAGAAAGAGAAAATCCTCCTGGTTTAGTTAAAATAAAATTAGAGCTAAAATTCAGGAACTTGCAGACACTGGCTGTAGAAGGTAAAACCCAGCAGAACTGCAGTTCCCCAAAATAGACAATGCAGGAGATTTTCCAGTACAACATAGGAAATAATTGCTTGAGATTACAATGAAAAAAAAAAGCAATGTTGTGCAATATTTTGAAGAGGACCTGGAAGCTAAAGTAATGGTTAGAAAGCCCTACTGAAATAGAAGCAGGACTTGAGAAAGCAGCAAAATGAAAAGGTTGTGTTTGATGGAGGACTGCAGAATGCAGCTAAAAATCTTGATTGATTTTTACAGGAGAGAAAATAATTTTTAAAGATTAAAACAAGAAGAATCCCAAATTGCAACAGTAGATCTAAGGGTAAAAAGAAACACAAATAAAACTGCTACTCTGCCTATTCACTGAAAACATATCAGAAAAAAATGGAAAAAGTAAGACCAGTACATCCTGCCTTCTCAACCAGGTTATTCAAAGACATCAAAGAGGAAAACAAGCAAAGAAGAAGATGTTGCACAAAATCACACAGAAAAAATCAAGAGGGCTGTTGACGGCTTCAGATCATAGCAGCCCATTAGAAACTTTGAAAAACAGGCCTTGTTAACGCTATTTCAGATAAAAGAAGACAAAAGCAGTTTCAGGAATGTGACCATAACAAGTATAATGGTGAAGAAGGTCTGCAGTACTATAGCAGTGACAACAGTCTTTTGTAAGGAAACTGCTGCCCTAATGAAAGGTCAGTTACAGTCAATGGAAAAGCTTTCATTGGCTTCAATGGACATGGGGATTATGCCCTAAAAAAGCAAATTTATATGGACTAGAATTCTGACACCAGTGAAGTAAATAGCAAAAATTCCATTAGGTTCAGTGGGGTCAACATTTCTACTTAGAGATTTATGTTAGTTATAGCTTGATGCTCCTGTGGGTTAATAAAACAACATTCATACTCTAACTCTACATATGCCTGCATTTATTCCAACACAATAATACATGGTGGTGATCCCACAACTTATTGAAGCATCAATTTTTTTCAAACAGAAATAAAAAGTTTAGGGATATTGTTTCTATCTTGTTTCATTCAAGCTTTCAATGATCACGCTTTTTCACAAATCTCCCAGCCAATTGTTTGGTGTTACAATTCTACCTTATTAATCTGTTTCCCATTTTATAATGCTTCATGGTTTCAGAAGTTTGGGAAACTTCTAATTTGTTCATCTTCACTGTGTTTGTTGAACAAATTGCTGGTAGAATCCTGACAGATATCACTTATCATAAATCAAGTCTCTTTCACAGAGATTATAGTTAAAATGTTCTCTAGTCTAACAGCCTTGTACACCATCCAGCATCATGGCTCAGCTGTTGGCTCAGCTGACACACAGCAACTGGCTAAGCTGCAACAACTTGAGTTTGAATCCGAGCCCTCAAAAATTGCAGGTCTTGCTGTACCCTGGCTCAGATACAGTTCCTAATCTGAGCTCTGTGTAACAGAGCTCTTCCTTAGGGTATGTGTCATGAAAGAGTTGAAGTTGAATGTTTTACGTTTCATAGTTATGCGTCTAGAACTGACATCCTAGAAGGACCTCTCATGCCGCCAGTTCTACTTTACCACTTGTAAGAATGGGGAAGGTGATCGGATCCTCTCTTTCTACTTACCTCTGTGTAGAAACATTGCAGGGCTGAACTGCATGTCAAGCATAGGGCGGTTCATACACTTTCACCAAGCCATGAGTCCCTGCATGGGTAGAACTGCCCTTGTTCCAATGACAAGAAAATATCCCTGATCTTAAAGCTAGCAGGATATATTTTATGTCAACTCAATATCAGAAATCAGGCAGATTAATAAAATTACTGTTGTATCAGGTCTTAGCACTGTCTGTAGAGCTCAGCAAGGGCAATTGACACTCTCTGCTCTCTGGAGTATGATGCTGTGCATATGTGCTTCCCTTTGGTTGACACTGTTACCATACAGAGGTCTATAATATCCCTTTTTGATTTAAGAAGTACATTTCTTGCTAAGAGTGAATGGATGTCATATGCTGTAGGAGTATACATCTTTCATTTAATTGAAAAAAAGTAATGATCTTCATT